TATTTCACTTCAATACATGCAGTATTTCCGAAGTTATAACGACGAGAAGTTTAAGCCCTTTTTTGAATTTCGGAGATTACGAGCGCTCACACTATGACGTCACGCCCCCACAGACTGCGACCGCGACACAAACGCGGCGCTCGGTCCGGTGCGGTTTCACCAAATTACGCGGATCTCGTTTCATTTTCTTTCCATCGTCTTTGTATTCCTATTACTTATGATGTTTGTGCTTGTATTTCAAAGAAATAAGATTATCCTCTAAATCCGATTACACTAAAGTGAATCGTGTAGTGCTAGAATGGAAGAAGGTTTTGTAAAAGGACAGTCGGACAATCTGCCAAAAGTGGATAGTTTGATGGTAGCACAATATTTCATAAAGAATTAGGATTTTACAGCTGCTGAACTTCGTGGAATTAAGATTAAAAAGTACGTACCTATGTTCAAGTAAGCATTAGGTACCTACTCTCCTCGGTAAGCACATAATTATTATATAACATATAAAAGAAGAAAAAAGGAACCCCTTATTTATTTGAAGTCGGTTAAAATTACCTGTTCCTGTATCCTGTTCTGGGAACTTGGCGAAGTCGACGTTTTGTGTCGTTCAAGTCAGTTTTATCAAAATGGTCTGAACAAACAACACTCGATGAGGATGGCTACCATTGTAGTTCATTTCGGCTTAGTCTTATAGCAGCTACTCATTCATCTCTTATTAAAATATTCGTTGGAAGCCTAAAATCATAAATAGTTTTTGATAATAAAATAATGCTAAGTACTCAAGAATTTAAAAAAAAAACATCAGCGAGTTAAAAAAATTAATATTTACCTTGACTTGAATTTGATGTTACGTAATAACACGTAATTAAAAAAATATGTTGACTACATATACTTCTATGACTTAACCTAAAATTAATTACCCAAATCTTGGACTATTAGAAATAAGAAAAACTGGCAACATTCTCCCGTTACGTAATCTCTGAATTGTGCTTCAAATAACCTTTAAAATTGTGTTGGAATGACAAAATAAAATATATTTAAATGAGTGCTCATGTGTGAAACGATATTCCTTCAGACTTTTTGTTCACTTTAGTATTGTTTTTGCACCATTTAATTACAAATGGCGGCATTACGGCACGACGCCCCGAGAGGTACTGACGAAAATGAGCGTAGTTTGATGCATGTGTGTGTGTGTGAACGCGTGTGTTTACTTAAAGGAGCGGAGTTTTTTGGCTTCACCAATAACAAAGGCCGCGCAGTATCTACCTTTTTTTACTTCATCTGAGGTGTTTTATTAGTTTAAACTTACAGAAAATGTCAATATTTATATAAAAGATGTGGGTCAGTCCTACTGCCTAGGTATTTACTTAGTTATCAGTTTTCTAACTAGGCAAATAGGTACCTATGGTTCTATTGTTATACTAAAACATACCTATTTTTGATTAATTTTATCCAATGCTCGCTTTAGTTGATTCATTTACAGTTTTTTAAATGAAAACATTTAAAAAATCAGTGCTGATTAACTTGTGGGTTGCAAATTTTTCTTACACTTTTTATTGGTTATTTATTAATACCCGACGCAAAAAAGGGGTGATATAAGTTTGACCGCTATGTGTGTCTGTCTGTATGTCTATATGTCTGTCTGTGTGTCGGTATGTCTGTCTGTAGTACTGTAGCTTATAAATGGGTGAACCGTGTTGTTTTTTTCTTTTGTATTTAATGTTGTTTTTTAACAGTGGATCATAGACATGTTTTATCAAAATCGGTTAAGCCGTCCTAATAGTACATTAAAAACATATGTTTCGAAAACCTAAACCGTATTTAATGTATGTACGTTGCTATCGTTAAAAAATACAACGAAAACTAAGGATAAATGCGGGCCGCGAGTTTGATACTTCTGACATCAGGCCGCGAGTTGGATTTTGTAGTAGGAAGAAAATATTTAATCAGTGGTAGAGCCACGCGGCAGCTTTTGCCGTCGCACGGATGGGCCGGCTCGAACCGGGGTAGTACCACGACCTCACAGAAAACCGGCGTGAAGTAGAGGTTTACCTCTGCATTTCGCTTGGTGAGTGCAGGTGGCCGGAGGCCCTTTTTACTGGAAATGAGGCATTCCATCTTAGTCCTCACGGGTGACAACGCATCTACATTTTGATTTGTAATGGAGGATAGATGTAGAAGTCTATGGGCCGCAGCAACCACTTACCATCAGGTGGACTGTGTGCTCGTTTGTAACCCTTATCCTATAAATATATAAATTTATGTATGTTTTGTATATTTTGCCATATGTGTATTTTGCGGCCCGCCAATACAGTCGGTTGAGGTGCTACTAGGTGCTAGGTAGTTGGCAACTTTGGCAAGATACCTATATATCTAAACAATCAAAGTAGACAAGTAAGTATGTTTAGTAGGGCAAGGATAGGTAGAGAAGAAGGATAAACTTATTACTTACAAAAATACTCACAACGAAATGGTCTTCACAGCAGTGCGCTTTAGTTTTAGGGCCTATTGAACCGACTCTTTTTGCGGCTGTCATCCATTTTTTCTTCATTTTTGGGTCCTCAGGCATACAAATAATTTTAAAATTAAAAATTTTGTACAGCCGACTTCAATATAAGTTATTAAGAATAACTCAAAAATTATCGGTCTGACCTTGATCAAATTCATATGGGACCACACGAGAAGTACCAGCTTTCAAATAAAAAAGAATCATCGAAATCGGTTCACCCAGTAAAAAGTTATGTAAGTAAAAATTAAGTAAGGTAACACACAAAAAAACATACAGTCGAATTGAGTACCGTCTCCTTTTTGGAAGTCGGCAGAAAAAGAGTTTATCAGATGTTTTAACAGTACTTCAACACTGAGGTACAATACAGTATTTTTTTTTCCATTTTAACGACAGAAAACTAAAATTCTGATTTTTACTGCGCCGTATGAGCCGTCACTCACCAGTCATCGGCTAGTGAGCACCCGCCCGCGTTTTTAAAAATCTTCGTTCGGAAACACGCATTTTGATAGTTAATATCTCAGCCAATTTTTAAGATATGAAAAAAGTAAAAATACAGTTTTTCTCGTATTATTTTGAATAAGCGACACTAAAAACGTATACATCTATAGGATTAGTATACAGTGTTTATTAAAAATGTAATAATATTTTTTTTTTTACATAAAACTGCATTTGACTCATTCTCGAAGTTTAGTTTTCTGATTTCTGATAGTTTCGCATTGATTTATATGTTACACTAGATAAGTAATTGCCGCGTCAAAGCGTTGCCACTTCACATATAGCCACAGCCATATGCCCAGCTAACGTCGGTTCAGTGTTCAATGTGACGCCGACCGAGTTGAGCCGAACGATTCACGACAAAAAAAAATGGGTAAATGCGTAGTGAAAGAATGCGATTCAAGGTCACAAAAACGTAATTAATCAAGCGGAATCACTTTTCACACGTAAGTTTTAGTTTATGTTTTCATATTAACGTAAAAAACACAAAAAAATGAAATAAAATATCGAATATTGCAATTTAGGTTCAATGTTGCCACTTTTCTGCCTTTGCAATTTTCCCACATTACACTACTACGACTATATAATTTATTGAATAAGTTAACTTGTTAGCCCTGATTTTAAATATTTTGAAAATTGTAATAAAAACTATGTTTCAATCTGTATACAAAGGAATTAATTATTCTTATTTTAGAGTATTCTAGAGATCTATATATCTATTAATTAGATTTTATTACCTATTTTATATTAATAATTTTGCAGGGTACCTAAAGTAGCAGCACACCGTAAGAAGTGGGTGGAAATAATACGATTGCTGAGAAAGGACTCACTGGGTGCCTTCGAAATCCACTCTCATTAGTTCTAAGCACTTCCGGGATCAAGACAAACTAGGACCAAAAAGCGATGGCGACCGTGTTTATTTAAGTGGATTAGTTTACGTAGATTACGACAGATTAACTCAATTTAGTATTATCTTAATAATTTATTAATAACCACAGTTTTAGTAGCTAATGTCATGAGACCAAATTTAGGAGACAAAAACTTGCCGATGCTTTCACAATTGATGCATATTTCAAACTCTGATCTTCTTGGTTAAGAAACCCAAAATTGATGTTTTTACTTGATTATTTTTTTGTTTGATTTATCAGTACAATAAAAGATACCTCGAAAAAAATATTTCATTTCATTAGTTATACTTCTATTCATCGGATAAGCAAAGATACATAATTAGGATAAAAACAAATAACTGCAGCTTAAAAAAAACTCCTTTTTATTGCTTATTTTTGGGTGAAATTCCATATAGTAGGCAATACCAACCCGTCACGGCATGTTTGTGTATCCAGCTTTATCTAATCTTAGCGACGGTATTGTTTTCGCGACTTGTGTAAGTGAGACAGATATATGTTTACTTAAAATTGTTTCGTGGTTTCAAAGCTACGTCCTCGCGGTTAGATAGTGGCTTCACTTTTTTCGACGCGCGGTAATGTGGTCAAAGAGTATAGTAATATATAAGGAAAGAATGTGGTTTGCTCCTCTAGTCTTGTATAACTCAATGTAGTTTCGCTTCTACCGTTTGGGAACTGCATACATGTATTTTTTAATTTTAAATTTACTCCATTGCAATCGCAAATAGTACTCTCTTACCCAGAGATTATTTGAGAATTGGTTTATTTAAAAATAAAAACAATAATAATTATATTTATAATGTGTTATTGATTTGTGTAAGACTTGATTTTGTATAATTTCTCGTACCCAGCGGTATAAAGTAAGTTGACCCTACTGGCAGCCCCAGTCTCGTCCGGAATGACTGATGTGTAGACAGAGAGATTGGACAAAATTGTTTCGTGTATTTGCATAAAACCTTTAATTAACTTTTTTTCGTAGGAAAATACATGCATTATGATTACTTTACTTCCCTGACCTTATGCGCCGTTGTTAATTTAAATACTTTGTGAGTTATTTTGGTATTCAGTGACATTTCAGTGAAGTGCCTAATTTGAACATGGAGGCTATAGCAAAACACGATTTCACTGCAACTGCAGATGATGAGCTGAGTTTTAAGAAAAATCAAGTACTCAAAGTAAGTTTTCAGTTTCAAGCATTGATTTTAGAAACTCCTTCAATGTTGAACATCAGATTCCATCTAGTAATTTTGTTGCAGATACTAAACATGGAGGACGATATGAATTGGTACAGAGCAGAATTAGACGGGAAAGAAGGTCTTATTCCTAGTAACTACATTCAAATGAAAAGTCATAGGTATGTAAACATATGCATTTTTGAATTATATCTCATCATTTTTAGCATTTTCTAGCCATTATATTTAAAGAGCATATATTATGAATAAGTATGATCTTACTGAATTAGCCGGTTTTCGGCTTAAATAAAAACAAACACCTTGTTTTCTTTGCTTTGTAAGTACATTGAATCATGTCTAATAAAATCACTGCATATTAAAGTACATCTCTTGTAGGTTGTCTATATTTATATGTTTTTTTAACAAGCAATATTTTCAGTTGGTACTATGGTAGGATCACAAGAGCAGATGCAGAAAAACTCTTAGCAAATAAACCAGAGGGAGGATTTCTTATTAGGATCAGTGAGTCGAGCCCTGGTGACTTCTCTTTATCAGTAAAGTAAGTAAATAATTCTAGTGATTTTTGTTTATATGTTCTTAAATCTTATGACAATATTTTAAAATTCTATTTAAGCCTGTTAATACTAAACTTTTTCTTATTGAATAAATATCCATAAGTAAGGCTAAGGTTTCTGTGAAGATCTTGTAGTAGGGTGTTATTTGGCTTACATTACAAACATATTATGATGTTGTATTAAAGATGGGGTCCATTTAAGTTCTTTGTGGAAATGTGCCTCAATGTTCTCTATTGATATCATAACCTAAGAATATACAATATTGCATTTGCATATTATATTTAAAAGCAAAACACCGTAATTTTGTTTTGTAAATGTTATAATGAAATGGTCCTTTTTTAATATTATAAATTTACTAGGAATGCATTATGAAAGCTTAATAAACGGTTTCTATTGTAATACAAGGAACCACATTTATATTCTAGCTATATATGCAAATATTCTAAATAAATACACTTATTCTAACTAATTACAGTATCCACTACAAGAATTTGTCCCGAATTAGATAAAAAAATTAAAGACTATTTTTGTAAAAACTTTAATAACTTTTCTTTTTTTTTTTTTTCTTAATAAAATGTTACCCCCACACTAGGATTTTCTCCTGTATCGCGGAGGCAGTTTACAAACACAAATTGCACAAGGACAAACATCCAGACCCGGAACATTTATTTGTAGGTCGTACAAATATTTGTTCCATGTGGGATTCGAACCCGTGGCCCCAAGCATTGCAACTCATTGCTAAGCCACTACGCCACGGAGCCATCAATAACTATTAATATATTTTATATTATGTAAAATCTAATATCTAACAGAGGGTGCTAAGTAGTTTTAAAATTATAATAAGGTACCATGAGTCAGTTTAGCAATTATGCTTAATTGTGTATAGTAATCCTACAATGTATTCATCTACAGTCCTCCATATTAAAGAAAAGTAAAGTGATGAATTATATGATTATCAATATATCACCACTGTAGCATGAAAACAATAAGTACATAATAATCTGCACAAGCATAACTTTGGGAACTTTACCTATATATAAGTCCTAACCCCTAATACAACACATCATCTAGTTTATTTAATAATATAATAATAAATAAATTTATTAACTTTTTTTATTAATATATGAATAATTCTTCATAAAAAGTTAAATGATATGTATTCCACTGCTGGGCACTGCTCTCTTCTTATTTTTGTGATTGTTTTTCTTTATAAAAACTGTAATAACAAGCAAAATAACAGTCCACCATATGGTAAGTGGCTACTACAGCCCATGGACATCTGCAACCAACTTCAAACAAAGAATACTACAAACAAGTTCTATTACATCTTAGGAATTAGATGGAATGCCCCTCAGCTTGTAGTTATATGGGTGCTCTATAACCCTGGAGACCAGAACAGAGCAGTGCATGAACTACTTAGTGGCAGAAATGGGTAAGTGAGTGGTACTTACCTACTCATATGGACTTCTACATAGAAAAGGAGTCCTATACCGAGTTAAGTAAAGGTGAATCTTTAAAGGTTCAATAAGGAAAAATATGTATTACTGCTACAATGCAAGTTATTTTAGGAGATGGTTTTGGACCGTAGAATTAAGTTTGGGTTCTAAGACATGCAGGTTCCTTTACAATGTTGTTCACAACTCAAGTTGCTCTAATACTATGTAATTGGGGCAGTTGCTTTTTACTTTTTACTAGAACCAAGGCATTCCATCTTAGTCCTCAAGGATAGCAACACATCTGCATTTTGATTCTTAATCGAGGATAAATGTAGATGTCTATGGGCCACAGCATCCACTTACCATCAGGACGATTGTGTGCTTGTTTGTCACCTTATTCTATTAAAAAAAATGTTGCCACAAAGCATGGTCCTGAGCCACCTGTATCCATCAACACCCTGCATAAAACGATGATGTTTATATGCCATATAGTAGCGGCGTAAAAGAAAAGTGCCCCATATCATTTTGTGGGTGTTGTAAGAGGCCACAGATAGAAACTGGACCAGGAGATGGGCAATAGCATCTTTCAGATAGTAGCTTAAGAATAATAGAAAAAAACGTGGTTGCCAGCTCGCTTATCAACATAGCAACTATATAATATATCCCCCAATGCATTCTACATTTTAATTTTCCATTATCCATCCATTACAGCCTATAACAGTCCACTACTGGACTAGGCCTCCCCTGTAGATTGCCTCATAGGGGGATATTTGCCATAGTTGCAGGTAGGCAACCACAGTTTTTTATAAATTTGAGTTATTACCAGGAAAAAAATGCTGCTCATCTTTTGGCTTGTTTTCCTTTATCGCCTCTTACGACACCTACTGGACGATATGGGGTAGTGCATATTCTTACACTGCCAATACACAGTCAACATTTTAATTTTAATAAAAGTTATTAATCGCACCATGTATAAATATAATTTCATTTTAAGTAAACGTCATATTTATTAAATAATTTCATTGTTAATAAATTACTTATTATAAAACAAATTATATAATAGGTTCTAATTACATTCTTAGATTGCTTGTATCTACAAAAAGAAAAAAGATATAATTGTATAAAAATAGCACTAACATAACAGGTGTCTGATGTTATTAGAGGTCTTAATTAAGTTAGTTTAGACGTCAAATTAACACAAGTGTGACCTATGAGCCTATGACACAACAATTTGACCAATACTTCAGTGTGGTGAGCATGGTGTAAACTAATTTGCCACAATTAGTACAATTATTGCTTAAGAGTGACCTGTATATTGCTATGAATATATTTAGGTATATCTCTGTTTCCAGTTTTAATTATATTTGCTTGCATTAGTAGAAGGTAGTTAGGTCTGCCTGAGATGGTAACACTATCTAACTATATAACAAATTTTAACTATATAACAAGCAGCTAATTTATCTTATTCAGGGGTAAGAAAGCAACTGTACGTGGTAGAGCCATGCTGCAGCTATATTATGGTTGTAGCACGAATGGGTCGGCTCGACTGGGGAAGGACCACGCTCTCACAGAATACCAGCTTAAAATAGCAGCTTAACGCTGCTGTGTTTCATATGGTGAGTGTAGAGAACCGGAGACCCTTTTTACTGGAAACGAGACGTTCCATCTTAGTCCTCACAGTTGACAATGCATCTGCATTTTGATTCGTATTCGAAGATAGATGTAGATGTCTATGGGCCAGAGCAACCACTTACCATCAGGTGGACTGTGTGCTCGTTTGTCACCCTTATCCTATAAAAAAAAACTGTGACCTTGTTTGTTTACAGTTAGTTGTAAAACTATATCTTCTATTGCATTATGTTGCTTTGAGTGTAGTTTTCTAACTGCCAAAAAAAAAGGATTAATTAAAAATATCTGTTCAATCAATCATAAATCATATTGATACATATAGTTTGTTTTTGGTATTCATTTGGACCAACTGTTTTGCTTATAGTGTAGTAGAGCCCTGCCCGGCTGTATTATGGTTGTAGCACGAATATGTAGGTTGGCTTGACTGGGGAAGGACCTCACTCTCAGAATACTAGCGTAAAATTGCTACTATGTTTGGTATGATGAGTCTGGAGAACCGGTTACCCATTTTTCTGGTAATGGGCATTCTATTATAGCCCTCAGGGGTAATCTACATTTTGATTCTTAATCAAGGATAGATGTGAGTGTATATGGGCCACAGCATCCACATAAAATCAGGTGGACTGTGCGCTCCTTTGTCACCCTTATTCTATAAAAATAACTTAATCTGCCTTAAATACTGTAAAAAAATATCATACTCAGATCTATATAAAAAAAAATTCATACTCAGATAGATATAAAATCATCAAAAATTTATTGATGTATGTTGCTGTTTTACCATAATAATAAATTAAATAGGCACTTCTTTTGAAACTGTCTTATTTTCCACCTAGATAGTTATTAGTATTTGGCATATTTATCTTTGCATTAACTCTAGTATTGATTGTTATCTTTAAATAGATATTTTTTATACTTAGCTGGCTGTTTTAGTTTATTTAAGAAAAAAAATGTTATTCCCACACTAGGATTTTCTTCTGTGTCGTGGAGGCAGTTTACAAACATAAATTGCACAATTATAAACATTGGACTTCCAGACCTGGAACAATTTACTTGTAGGTCATACAAATGCTTGTTCCGTGCGGGATTCGAACCCGCGGCCCCGTGCGCAGCAACTCATTGTAAAGCCACTGCGCCACGGAGCCGTTTGTTGAACTGTTGTTTTGTTTTCTTCGATTTGGTTGTTAATATTTGATAATGTTTAAAAGTATTTTCGTCGTGTAATGGCGGCGTAGAAAAAACTATCTTCCCATTTCATCCCGTGGGTGCGGTGTGAGGTGACTATGGGAAAAGCCAGTAAGCTCTCATGGCTTCCGATAGACGGTGATGTAATCATCTCGTTTATGACAGCCGAGGACGCGAAGCAGCGCCAAAACCGGTTGCAAGACATCTGGTACTGCTACCAACAAATCGCCTACGAAGAGTGGCAATTAAAGTAAATCGTCCCTACAACGGGCCTGCTGTGAACAGAACATCCGGCTGATGAAGAAGAAAAACAAAGAAAGAATCATTCATCAATATCACAAACGTCTTCAACATTATTACTAAATAACACAGATGACAAATATTTTGTTTGAAATAATAGATAAAGAATGTTTATCTCATTTACTGCTTTGTTATCAGTCTTTACTACTTTTCTTTAGAATGTGAGAACTTTTATTGTAAATTGGAATTGGAAAATATTTCAGTCAGTTATTCCGCACAATAGATAGTTTGTTTTCCCTATTACTAAACAATTTCATAATTGAACGACAAAAAGCGTGCGGTCATGCACTTCGGCGCGTCGCAAACAATTCTATTGGAAGTTAAATTGGTAGATAAAAAAGTCAGTTTGCGCCCCGGTATGTGACTCACTTCGTCTTGGTCTTGGTGCCTAAGTCTTTTTATTTGTGGAAATTATTATTAAATGTATATTGGACATT